TCAGCATAATGTTTAACTCATAAAGCATTATCGACCCTCACGTACCCAGGCTTTCCCTTGGCCTGTCCATCACTCTTCTCCTTGCCTTTCATTGGCTGAAAGAAAGACCTGTAGGCGAGAAATAACGAGACCACGTTAGGACTAAGTTAAGCTAAGTTTAATTTACTCGAGTTAATATTATATTGTAAATTCTGGCAGTCGCTTAAAAAGTGCAATATAAAGATAAACTTGGTGTCACAGATTAAGTTCAAGTCAATCGCGCTGTCGTTTTAGAAGCTGCAGTTAATATCCTCCGATCTAAACATGAAAAAAGACAAAGAGAGCAGGACACACTCACGCTATGCTTCGCTGCATGATTGTAGTCTTGCAGTGCTGAATCCCAAATACGTGTTTAATATATCTTTCGGCGTGTTGTTAAAAAGTCAGAAGAATCGATGTTTTCTTCCGCGCGCTTTGCCCTGAATGATTCGGCGCCAAAGTGACGTTGCCCTCTCAGACAACAGAAACAACGGGGTTTACTGAGCACAAACACACGGTAGCGCCGTCTGTTGGATTGGATGTGCTGGATACAACAGCGTATAGTAAGAAAAGTGTAGCTACTATTCTTTTTTTAAAATACAGTTTATTCATATCTGTTCACATTGCTACTAAAATAATCCATATAAATTTAGTTTACCTCATTACATCTATCCCTATGTCTGTCTGTCTGTCTGTCTGTCTGTTTGAAAGTTGTAAAAAAATAAAAATGCACATTACTAATAAAAAATTGAAATAGCAAAAAACTATTTTAAACAGTTTTATATATTTACAGATGAAAATGTACAAAAAAACATCTGATATATATATATAGCTACATAGATAAGCATAAGCAAATATATATATATATATATATATATATATATATATATATATATATATATATATTTGCACAACAGTTCTGTCTGGTTCTCAAATCTGATTGGCTGATAGCCACGCTATATTCTGCAATATCAGAACTCCTACAGCTCTTTACCCTTTGTGTATTACTCCGCCCACATAAAGCCAGCAAAAAGAGGACACTACAAATCTAAAGTTTAAAAGATGCTTTTAACTGTTTTAACAGCTGTTTAACTGTCACCTTATGATTTGAATCCAATGAGGAAGAAAATAGTTCCTCATACAAAAGGGTTTTTGAGACTCTCTATGTTTGATTTTGTTTTTATATACACAATTATGTCGTCAAACTGTTGTATAAATGCAATATCACACTCGTAGCAGTGCGATATGGCTGTGTATCGGCACTGGTGGGGGCACTAAGGCACTCGGCCTGTGGCCTCGTGCTATCGCACGCCTCCCACCAGTGCCAATATACAATATACAGCCATATCGCACTGCTATGAGTGTGATATTGCTCATATATATATATATATATATATATATATATATATATATATATATATATATGTGTGTGTGTGTGTGTGTGTGTGTGTGTGTGTGTGTGTGTGTGTGTGTGTGTGTGTGTGTAGAAACAGCTAAATTAGGGTCAAACTGCAAATATTAAGTTTGGATCCATTTGCTCTATATATGTATGCATTGGCTGCCAAGTCAGATAGACTGCAACCTTTGGTGGATTACCGAATCATAAGATCCCTAATCCAATGATAAAAATTACATTTAAGACGTCTTGCAATTAATGTTGAAAAAGAAATACTTTTGGTATTATCTGTATTGTCTAAACTGTGATCTGTAATTAAACAGGGCACAAGGTCAGTTGATACATGCAAGGTGAATGATCATTTTGACCCACACAATATATTTTTGTCTAACAACATACCCTGTGCAACATCCAACTTTTTTTTTTTTGGTCCAGGCTCACAAATTGATATTTTAAAATGTTATATTCTGTATGATTTATAATGATGACATTGTTTACTCATAATTTATACATACATACATACATACATACATACATACATACAAACTTATATATACAGCTTAAGTCAGAATTATTAGCCAGTCTGAATTTTTAGCCCCTCTGTTTATTTTTTCCGAATTTCTGTTTAACGGAGAGAAGATTTTTTTTAACACATTTCTAATCATAATAGTTTTAATAACTCATCTCCAATAACTGATTTATTTTATCTTTGTCATGATGACAGTAAATAATATTTTATTAGATATTTTTCAAGACATTTCTATACAGCTTAAAGTGACATTTAAAGACTTAACTAGGCTAATTAGGTTAACAGGTTAGGTTTATTAGGCAAGTCATTAACGATGGTTTGTTCTATAGACTATCTTAAAAATATAGCTTGAAGGGGCTAATAATTTTGTTTTTAAAAAAATTAAAACTGCTTTTATTCTAGCCGAAATAAATCAAATAAGGCTTTCTCCGGAAGAAAAAATTTCATCAGACATACTGTGAAACTTTCCTTACTCTGTTAAACATCATTCGGAAAATATATATATAAAAAAAAGAATCAAAAGGGGACAGTAATTCTGACTTCAACTGTATATTCTTTTTCTTTTCGGCTTAGTCCCTTTATTACAGCGGAATGAACCGCCCACTTATCCAGCATATGTTTTAAGCAGTGGATGCCCTTCCAGCTGCAACCCAACACTGGGGAACATCCACACACTCTTGCACACTCACCACAGCCCTTTTAGCTTATTTAATTCACCTATAGCGCATGTCTTTGGATTGTGGGGGGAAACTGGAGCAGCCGGAGGAAACCCACGTAAACACAGGAAGAACATGTAAACTCCACACAGAAATGCCAACTAACCCAGCCAAGACTCTGACCAGCGACCTTCTTGCTGTGAGGCGATTGTGCTACCCACTGTGCCACCATGCTGCCTAAACATGACACACACTTTGGTCTGTTAATCTGTCACACTTTAGTCACACCTTAGTCAATTTACTGCAGGGACTTTCCACAAACTTCTATTGTGCTTTATACAGACCAAATGGTATTTTCCATCCAGAACTCAACCCTACCTGTAAACACATCTCTTTTCTGCACATTCTGCATTTATAAACTTTCAGATAAGCATAATTTTGTGTCTTTTACAATTTCCTTTCCTTAGCATTCAAGGTTTAATAGACTCATGTTTTATTATTCCTATCTGGATTTTTGGTCCTCACAGTGTAGCAAAAACAAGTGTAATATGTGTGTACGCCTATATTTTACAGTCTATGGTGTACGCACATGAAATAATTAATTTCTCATACAAACATTTATTCAGCAAAAACATAACATTGTAAGAGTTGTTTACAGTGAGTTGAGGAACACATTCAAGCTGATGTGATGATTTATTGCGTACTTTCAGTTTCTGTATTACTCACACTCGCATGTGATGCCGACATGAAGGGTTGCTAACACCAGCACTCTTATGACAGTTTTTGATATGATGAATTAGTCAAAGGATGAAACATAATTAGACAGATAAAACATAATTAGAGAGATGAAACATAATTAGACAATTGAATTATTGCTTCAAAAGCGCTAGAAATTTGATCAGTGCTTCACACTTCTGGATAAGTGAAACCATCAGGTGAAGAATCACATATTATTCTGACCTGTCAAACTGACATCCCATAAAGAGATGTGGTGAGCTGGTGAGATAAATATGCCGAAGTGGAAAGACTAGTTTCTTATGCTTTCTGGAAACATGGTGCTTTCAAGTAAATGCATCAAACGGTTTCACAACAAATACACAATAAACAAATACAACTGTATATAATTAACTCTTAGGAAAGTTCATTACAAGTACAAACTCATTCAATCATTAATTTTCCTTCGGCTTAGTCCCTTTATTCATCAGGGGTCGCCACAGCGGAATGAACTGTCAACTAATCCAGCATATGTTTTACACAGTGGATGCCGTTCCAGCTGCAGCCCAGTACTGGGAAACACCCATACACTCTAAAATTCACACACACACACACACACACACACACACACACACACACACACACACACACACACTCATACATTCGTTCATTTTCTTGTCAGCTTATTCCCTTTATTAATCCCGGGTCGCCATAGCCGAATGAACCGTCAACTTATCCAGAAAGTTTTAACACAGCGGATGCCCTTCCAGCCGCAACCCATCTCTGGGAAACATCCACACACACATTCACACACTCATACACTTGGGCCAATTTAGCCAATTTAGCCCCATTCACCTGTACCGCATGTCTTTGGACTGTGGGGGAAACCAGAGCACCCGGAGAAAACTCAAGCGAAGGCAGGGAGAACTTGCAAACTCCACACAGAAACGCCAACTGAGCGGAGGTTCGAACCAGCGACCTTCTTGCTGTGAGGCGACAGCACTACCTACTGCGCCACTGCCTCGCCACACACTCAAACACTACGGCCAATTTCGTTTATTTAGTTCACCTATATAGTGCATGTCTTTGGACTGTGGGAGAAACCGGAGCACCAGGAGGAAACCCAAGCGAACACGGGAGAACATGCACACAATTGATGCCAATTGACCAAGTACAAATTATATATGGCCATTGAGTAGCGATAAATAATCTATAATAAAGGGGGAATTATTAGTCCCCCTTTGATATTTTTTTATTTCCCAAATCTCTATCTATCTATCTATCTATCTATCTATCTATCTATCTATCTATCTATCTATCTATCTATCTATCTATCTATCTATCTATCTATCTATCTATCTATCTATCTATCTATCTATCTATCTATCTATCTATCTATCTAACTATCTATGATAGTTAACAATTTAAAATAATAATATTTGTGCAGTTAATTGGGAGCATGATTATTTGAGGATGTGTTCTTCTTTCATAATTATACTGTGTTTTATATCAAAACCATTTGATTACACCAAACAACACGCTTTATTCACACATCATCATGATTGTCACTTATGTTATTTTCACTTTCATTTTATTGTGTTTATGGCAGCAGTGCCGAGAAATTGTGTAATGCAGTCTCATGACGTAATACAGGTGTGCTTTTAAAAGGATGCCCGTAAGCAGTCCGTTTTTAATCTCTGCTATCAGTTCATGATACATACACCAAACATTTTTTTGTGCTTTGTGAAGTTGATTTAATAATGGCGATGAAGGAGCTGACATTATTTGTGGTGTGTTCGTGGTTTGTCAGTATAACTGAACAAGAATTCTTCTCATCAGTAGGTAGGCCTAATTATATTTTAATTTATTTATTATTTTTATTTTTTTGTTAATTGCTTCTTTACATGACATTTATATTTGTTCTCTTCTGTGTTTAAACTGTTGCTGTGAAAAAGACCATAGTAATTTATAGTAAATAGTGTTTTTTAACCATAGACTATTGTAAACTACTTTAATTATTCTGTTTGGTAGTTCAATAGTTGCAATGGTAAAGCAACAAATATAGTAATATAAATTATTTACCCATTACTGTACTAATATCTATACAACTATATAATGTACACTTAAAAATATCCATAAATTAGCAATTTTTCATATTTTGTGATTCATGTATTTATTTATTTATTTCCCTATTTATTTATGCTTTTAAATTGAATTACTGGACCTTGATTTTTCTTCCAACAACTCTTAACAAGTTCGAAAAAGTGACTTTTAATAACACATTTAATAAATATTTAAAAATCAATTAATATAAAATTTGATATAATCAATTAATATAAAAGTGATATTTAATAGTTTAGAGCTACATTTTCTGTATTATTTCAAACTACTAAACATGTCAATAAAAGTCACTTTGTTTTTTTAAGAGAAACTGTAGGGTTGTAGAGAATTTTCAACATTAAAAGTCGACAGAGCTGAGATCAAGGTCCCTTCTTGCAATTCACAATCGTAAATAATCAAAAAACACTTGTGCATCACAAAATATGGAAACTGTCAATTAAAAAATATATTTTAAAGTGTATTTTATATACTACAATACACACAACGTCATAAGATGGTAATATTAGATAAGATTTAATGTGTTATTTTGACGTCCAATGATGACGTCAAATTACATTGATATTTGGTTGTTTTTAGGTTGGGTTGGTAAGTGACCAAAATCCAAGGTCGAGCAAACATCTTAAACTGACGTCTTATTGAAGTCAAATACTGACATTTATTCGTGAGGTATGGCAACCAAAATCCAATGTCTGATAGACATAGTGGTAACGTGTACACAAAGTCAAGCTGTAACAGCTGTATTAGATGGTCATATTGAAGGTGACCAAAATTCAACGTCTGTCCGACATTGGACACTGATGTTGGTCTGATGTTGGGTTTCCACCCAAAATGCAACATCCGATGACGTTGGAGTTCAAAGTCAATCTGACATCATGTTGATGCCCTAGTATATTAGAGTATATTTATTTTACAATTGATCAATTAATGACAGTTACCATGTATCATTCATCAAAAAGAATTGTAAATACTGTATATACTATATAATGCACTTTATTATGGATCTGTAATTAAGGGTGACTGAGGTAAGGATTCATTTGGAGCAAGTTCAATAAAACAGGCAGGGTCAGATCACACAAGGTCAATGCAGACAAAATATGTCATTGTATTTTAGATCAAGTTTCACAACTTTTTAATGAAGAGGAAAACCTTCTGGACACCTTTAGCTTTTATATTGATGCTGAAGAGGAAAACCTAAAGAAAATGAAGAGGTAAAGTATATGAAAGCAATTATTTATCTGCTTTATCTGCTTAATGAATAAAATATTATTACATTTATATATTTAACACTCTATGTGATGAATTGTATCTCTTGCAGTCTTCTTCTGCTTCTTCAACTGGGATCATTCTCCAACCCACAGAGCCCCGAGGAAACCATGAGAGACCCTGTGGCAGCTTTCAAACTCCTCAAACGACTGAGACATGAATGGGTGAATATTGCCAAATTCACTCAGCAGAGTCTTTATCAGGGTGAGATCATTTTCTTGAAACCTCTAAATATGCATAGTAATTTATTTATGGAAGGAAGTATTGGTGAATAAAGAGTGGATAAACACGTTTAGGCTATTTTATTAATCTTTTTGTATGATCCCAATGCAGTAATAGATCTCTTAGAACTACTAGATTATTCACTCATCCCAGAGCTGGAGGATATAAACAGTGCTGCTTTAGGACTGATCGGGCTGCAGGAGATCTACAAACTCTACCCACACAATATAACAAAGGGTGAAATATTTGTAACTGTGCAATTTCACTGCCAGAGTTTCCCTTTTTTTCCCCTTGAAAAAATTCCAATCTGATCAATGGTTTCGTTTTTGCATTTCACAGAAACACCTCTTAGTGCAGATGAAGCCTACCATATTGGCCTGGTTGCTTATAAAGAGGATAAATTCCAGCATGCCTTTCTCTGGTTTTTGCACAGTCTAAACAGACTGACAGATTTCTCATCCACTACTAAGAATGATTTGCTACATTTTCTTAGTTCCTCTGCCTATCAGTTTGGCAGCCTACCTGTGGCAATTTATTTTGGCCAAAAGCTTCTAAATCTGGGTGAGAATATGGTGAAATGAGATTTAAAGTCAGCATGAAACAGAAGTTAAGAATCTCATTTTTCGTGACATACATCATTTTGAAATGGTTTCTAAAATTAGCTAAAAATGTAAGGTGGTACTTGTTTTCATTCTTTTGGAAATTATTGGATCATTGGCATTGCTAACAAAACGGATAATGATTTGAATGCCAGTTAGCTCTCAGTTCAACTTCACCAGAATCGGCACCCTCTGGACCAGATATTTTCCGATGCCCAATGATGACAAGAACCAGGTGCTAAATTTTACAGATGGAACTGTATCATATTCGTTTAAGCCATTGCATCTCATGAAGGCAGGGCAGAAACGACACATGCACTGATATCCTTGCCCTAAAGCACCTGATAGCCCCGCCCTTTAGTCATTTCATGTGACCAGAAGTGAAGAAATTTTATTTTGAGAGGGGAGGGAAGGTTAAGGTATTTTATTAAAGATTATGAGGGAAAAGGGTGAGGCAGTGGAGCAGTAGGTAGTGCTGTTGCCTCACAGCAAGAAGGTCGCTGGTTCGAACCTTGGCTCAGTTGGCGTTTCTGTGAGGAGTTTGCATGTTCTCCCTGCCTTGGCGCTGGGTTTCCTCCGGGTGCTCCGGTTTCCCCCACAGTCCAAAGACATGCGGTACAGGTGAATGAATGAGTGTGGATGTTTCCCAGAGATGGGTTGCGGGAGGAAGGGCATCTGCTGTGTAAAAAAACTTGCTGGGTAAGTTGGCGATTCATTCCGCTGTGGCGACCCTGGATTAATAAAGGGACTAAGCCGACAAGAAAATTAATGAATGAGGGAAACATTTTTTTTTTTTAAATAATCTTGTGCACAAATTCATTGTTTATAACAAGTACTTCTATATATTTCAAGAATTCACATTTAGCTGATGATTGGTAATGAGCTTGTTTGGCTTGCTGTTCCGAGAGAGAGCCCTGAGCTTATAAGATCCGAGTCCTGGGTTCCCTCCTGTTAGCAGGGCGAGAGGGGAGTTTGAGCTCAGGTAGGTCTTGATGAACTCCCCCTGACTCATTTCTGGCTAATGACAGATAAGGTTGGCTAAAGAGAGATGTACGGCTTACTAAGAGCTTGAATATGATGCCAATTTGGTATGTTCAGTTTGCTTAGGTTGCGTGTTTTTTGTACTGTTGGACGAAACCAGAGAAACCGGGTGAAACCCACGAAGGCACAAAGAGAACAAGCAAACTCCGCACAGAAATGGTGACTGGTTCAATAGGGACTTTACCAGAGACATTCTTGCTGTAAGGCAACAGTGCTAATCACTGGGCCGCCGTGTCACCTAGTCTAGAAAGGAGGGGGAGTAAGGGTGGGAGGGGGGATTCTTCAAGACGAAGAAACTGAGATAAGAAACTCTGGTTATCTATAGTGAGTTAGGAATCATCTGATTAGTGAATCATGTATTAGCTAATGCGGGACCAGCAGCGGTCAATCATAAGCATGTAATCCTCTTAAAATAGTTTATAAATAAACTTCGCAAAGTTTATTTATAAACTACATTTGTGCCATTCCATCAAATGAAAATAAGAGGAGTAAGTTTTGATTTCATGCTGACTTTAATATGAATATTTTTGTTATATATTTTATTCATATTGCCTACACAATTTAGCAATTATTCTGTTGACATAACCTCCTGTGCCTCAGATCCAAGTAACGAAGAAATTAAAGTTCGACTGGGCCTTTACAGACTCCTTCGTTTGCAGAGAACTTCAAACCCTGACATTTTTACATTGAACACACAGTCAAATAACTCCTACGAGGCCCTGTGTAGAGGAGAGGTTGATGAGAGGGCAAGTGAACAGTCTCAGATTGAAATAACCATTTAAAATCTAATTATACTTCAGTGTGTATTGATTTGATGTGTTATTGTGTTTGATTAAATCAGACCTCCAAGAGGCAGAGGGCGCTGTCCTGTAGGTACAGCACGGGTGGAGGAAACCCCAGACTGATGTACGCACCAGTGAAAGAGGAAGAGTTGTGGGACGAGCCTAAAATCATCAGATATCATGATGTGATCTCAGACACAGAGATAGAGACGCTCAAGGATATCGCCAGACCTGAGGTGAATCACACATGCACACGCACTTACCATAGATGTATAGATTTTTATATTGTATATATAGGCTATATTTTTGTCCTCTTCACCAAGCATTTGCTAAAGCTAACCCTCACAGAATGTTCCCACAATGAGTTGAATCTCAATAGTATCTGGATGCAGCCTTCATGATGCAAGCTGAGATTGCATCACTCAGCGATGCAATGTCAGACACAATGCACTCAATGGAGTGAGTGACATCACTGTGACGGGTAGGGTTAGAGGCGGGGTTAGGTGAGCGCATTAAAAAGCATTGGATGCAGCTCAGATTGCACTGCACCAGGTCTGCATCCAGACCCCTCTCATGAATCTTGGTATGTTTTGGGATATTACAGAAAGTTTCTTTTTATAGGTTTTAACTCAAAGTTCGCTTGAACCAGAATTTCCTGAGACTTTTAGTTTAGATCAGTGGTCACCAAACTTGTGCCTGAATGGCCGGTGTCTTGCAGATTTTAGCTCCAACCCTAATCAAACACACCAGTTAATCAAGGTCTTACTTGGTATACTTGAAACATCCAGGCAGGTATGTTGAGGCAAGTTGGAGCTAAACCCTGAAGGGACACTGGCCCTCCAGGACCGAGGTAGGTGACCCCTAGTTTAGATTGTTGATGTACTTCCAACTCAAGCAGAATATTGAGTGGGGGTGGGGCTTTCTTTTTGAGAATATTGTGGCTGAAGTTGTTAAACTGACGTCAACACAAAAATGGCCAGATTTTGAAGGTTACCAAAACAAACTCTTTGTTTCAGTGGATCAATATGCACAGATTAATTGTTCGGCTTAAGAATAACAATGTGCGCTAGCAAAATAAACATTGTAAATTGTGATTTCACACGAGCTGTAAGATACGATACATTAAATCAGGATTTTTCACAAATCCGTATTACAGAAGCAAATCTTAACTTGAATTGGGATTCTTATCCTATCTGAGAAAATCGTATCTTAACTATAGTTAGGAAATCCTAAATTGTGTCATTAAGTTCAACAATCCACTCTCAGGTCTGTTAACAAGCAACCAACACTGCTAAAGCAGAGGAGGTGGAATCTGCGTTTATGTGAATGAGCGTTGGTGCAGTCACATAACAATTAAATCTGCAGTATGTAATCCGGATATTGAGCTCTTATGCTTGAGTTTGAGACCTTTCTACCTCCCAAGAGAATTTGGGAATATATTAATCTGTGTGGCTTATGTTCCACCTTCCGCTAAGGCAGCTATAGCCGCCAGTGCTATAAGAGACTGTATTCAAGACCAACTTGAACGTACACCAGGAGCGCCGGTGTTTATTCTTGGTGATTTTAATCATTGTAAATTGGAGACTGTTCTTTCTGGATATGATCAATATGTTAAAGACAATACAAGAGACAAAAATGTTTTAGACAAATGCTATGGGAACATCAAAGAGGCATACACGTCCAGGGTAAGACCTCCCCTTTCAAACTCTGATCACAATACTGTGTTTTTAATTCCTACGTATAAGACTCTTTTAAAGAAAAATAAACCCGTGGTGAAGACTGTGAATGTTTGGTCAGAGGACAGTGTTGAAGCCTTGAAAGGCTGTTTTCTCTGTACTGACTGGGAAGTTTTTCATAGCGAGGATATTAATGAAACTGCCACGGTAATAACAGATTATATTAATTTCTGCACTGAGAATGTGATACCAAAAAAGGAAATAGTCATCTATGCCAACAATAAACCATATATCACAAAGGACATTAAAGATTGTATTAAGAGGAAGAAGTTGGCCTTTCATAATCATGATCATCAAGGATTAAGAGTTACTCAGAAGGAGTTAAATGGATTATTAAGAGACGCTAGGATAAAACATAAACAATGCCTGGAGAATAGACTAGACATGTCTAATTCTAAACAACTGTGGGACTCTATGAAATCTATGTCCAATATGCAGTCTTTTACTCCCTCTATTTCTATTTTTGATGACTCACAGAAAGTGAATGAGTTGAATGACTTTTTCTTAAGATTTGAGAATTGTGAATACACCCCAGTCAACAGTTCGGAGGTAATGTCTCCTAGAGGTGTTACTTATGATAGGCCACTGATTGATCCTAAGCAGATAAATTTTTATTTTAAACATATTGGCTTAAATAAATCTGCAGGTCCAGATGGAATTTTGCCATACACTGTTAAATGCTGTGCTGATGAACTGACTCCAGTTTGGGTTCCCATATTTCAAAAATCCTTAGACTCTGGTATTGTTCCTAGTTTGTGGAAAAAATCATTAATTGTTCCTGTTCCTAAGTTGGCGAGGCCCTCTGAGTACAATGATTTTAGACCGGTGGCATTAACATCTGTTATCATGAAATGTTTTGAGAAATGTGTGGTGTCCATTGTAAAATCAGAAGTTGCTAGTAATTTAGATCCTCTACAGTTTGCCTATAGGTATGGCAGAGGTACTGAAGATGCAGTTAATAGTATTTCGCACTTGATTCTTAAGCACTTAGACAATCCTAAAGCTTATGCTCGACTGCTTTTTATTGATTTTAGTTCCGCTTTTAATACGATCCAACCACATTTATTAATTGAAAAGATGGAACAGCTGAATATAAACCCATTCATATGCAAATGGTATTTCTCATTTTTAACAAACAGAACTCAGGTTGTCAAGGTTAAAAACATCTGTTCAGAGGAAAAGAACAGTAGTACTGGGGTTCCACAAGGCTGTGTCAGTTCACCTATTCTTTTTACACTTTTTACAAATGAATGTATAAGTAAGCATTCACAGAATTTTATTTTTAAATACTCTGATGACACAGCCATTTTAAGTTTACTTTATGAGAAGGATGATATTGGGGTTATATATCAGTCAGAAATTAGTCAGTTCATTGATTGGTGTGATAGAAATAAGCTAAAAATAAATACTAAGAAAACAGAAG